TGACCTGAGAATAAAACATATTAAGAATGTTTGTTTTTGCCATTATTTGCACACAATGGACATTCATGAGTATTTCCAGGGTGAAGGGCCCTGCAAATTGTTTATAAATAGACAAATAGACTAAGAGCAGAGGATAAAACCTTCACAATGGTTTAACACTTTTCAGGCTCTGATTTCGAAGGTGCAAGATACACCACTCCCTTACAACTTCATAAAGACATTCTGATTAGGCCACAAAAACTATTTTTTTGTAGCCCTTCTACCTGCCCTTTTTGCCTCTTTGCCTTGAAGATAACCTGTTTCAAATCTTTTTGATTGTGCAGAAAGATGTGCTCCAGAGTACAGAAATATTGTGTACACTCATAGGAAAAATGTGTACACAGAAGATGCCCCTCACACTGAAAATACACTGCAATTTCTAGATTATTGTTTCTGTAATATCTTCCTGTAAAATAAGATAAAACTGAAATTAAGAAAAAATATTGGGAATTATACCCTGCATTCAGAACAAGAGAATAAGTGATTTACAACATTCATACAGTACAAATACCAATGCTCAGAACAAAAGGGCTCCCTTATGCACAGCGTCCATAAGTACAAGAAATGAAGAAATTTCCACCCAGCATATAAGACAAGAGCGATGGCACTGTTCAGGATCCATACACACAGATCACTCAGTTCACAATCTTCTCCCTGCAGAGAGCGGTGACTCTGCTGAGTGGTGACTGTCCCCTCTCCATTCCTAAAGCGCTGACTAGAGGGACAGACAGGGGAGGTGGCGGGCACAGCCCTCTAGAGAGACAGAGCCAGCTGTCATTCAGGTAGATCCCAACGGTTGAAGAACGGCTCTGCGCCATCTTCTTGTGACCCTAAAGAGAACTACAGCCAAAAAAGGTTTGGCCATAGTTCTCTTTTAATACTGAAATATTGATATGGGTTACTGTGCTGAATAATGTGTTCACTGCAGTAACATTATCAAAAGTCAACTCTTTGGTATACACACAGTCTTCTATACAACCTAAATTATTTATAGTAGTATAATTGCAGTTCACCTACCCTGGTTCTGTACACCTAATTCCAAGCTGCTAGCAGTGTAGGGTAACAGTGTTATTCTTATTCTACTTATTCTTTGGTTCTGTGTGTACTGATACAAAGCAGACAAACTAGGTTTGATTTACTAAAGGCAAATAGGGTCTTCACTTTGAAAAGGAATTTTCACTTTGCAAGGGAATTTTTCCTTAGCTTAGTGAATGTGGTTAAGCTCTGCTGACTTCCATTCACCAATGTGCAAGAAAAAATACTGCTTTTTTTTTATTTTTCTTGCATATGATTGGGGTTTTTTTTGCAAAGCGAAATTTCACTGTATTCACTAGGCTAAGGGAAAATTCCCCTGCAAAGAGAACAGGCTATTTGCCTTTAGTAAATAAACCCCCGTATGCCTACAACATCTGATCTTGTTAGTGTGATGCTAAAGCTAGCCAGTTGACTGGGATGGGGTGGCATCATAAGACAGCTGGCTTAGGGAATTATTACTGTCCTGCTGTAGAAATGCACCGATACCGTTTTTTCGATATCGAGTACGAGTACCGATATTATTTTCTGGTAATCACCGATACCGAATACCGATAACGAAAGTCACATTAAGGAAGCCGGGTGGCATGTAATGACTTGCCGCCTGGCTTCCTGATTAGCCGGGCAGCGTGTAATGACTTTCTGCCTGGCTTCCTGATTAACCTGAAAGCAGGCTCCATGATCCCTCATCACTAGGAGACAAGGAAGCATGGAGCAGGCTTTCTGGCCAATTAGGAAGCCAGGGAGGGCGGGTAATGACTCGTCGCCCAGGTTCCTGATTGGCCAGCTTTCCAACCAATCAGGAAGCCGGGCAGCAAGTCATTACACGCCCCCCAGCTTCCTAATTGTCCAGGAAGCCAGCTCCATGCTCCCTCGTCACTAAATGATGAGGAAGCATGGAGCCGGCTTCCTAGCCAATCAGGGAAGCTAGGGGGAGAGTTATTGCCTGCTCCTGGCTTCCTGATTGGCCGGGAGTCCAGCTCCATGCTCCCTGGTGGAAAGGGAGCATGGAGTCGGCTTTCTGGCAATCATAAAGCTGGGCGGCATTTAATGATTCACCGCCTAGCTTTCTGTTCCCGGAAGTTCTGGTATCAGGATAAGTATCAGGAGCATTTGGGTGATACTCGGTGTCGGCTACTAGAATCGGTATCGGTGCATCCCTAGTACTTACAGTGGTGGTGGTAAAAATGCTACACACATTTGCTCTCTCAGCCTTTTGCCTCTTATGGACCAGAGCAATTGCATGCAAATTCCATGGTCTACTAACTTGGCAGAAAGTTTACCATTACATATGATACTGAAATAATCATTTTTTTTGTATTTTTCTTGTTTTTTAGGGGGGGTGGGGCGATAAAGCTTTCATAGTAATAGTTTTAAAACATCAGGTGTTACTATAGATATCAAGTATACATTTTATTCAACAATTTACATGTTTGTCACAACTCCAAAATTGTACAAAGCATGGAGCGCGAGCATGAAGTTACTTAAAAATTAAGAGCTTTGAAAAACAAATTATGTTTTTTTACAAAACAAACAAAAAAAAACCTAGCTAGGGGTGAAAGTATTTTGTTGGGACTTACTATGCTATATAGGGTTAAAATAGAGAGGACATTTTATTTAAAATAAAAAATAGGATTTTGTCTGCTGCATCTAGGTTACAAACTGGAAAATTGTGTCACAGCAGAAGAATCAGCAGTAGGCTGTAAACAGTCCCGGTCTGCGCAGTCTGCAGTACTAAGATCTCCCTACCTATGTATCTCATGTAATAAGTCACATGTAATCTCCCTATGTAAACATCTGATGTCATCAAAAGATTTTACATACACATTTGATGTCATCATAGGATCTCCATACATATGCATCAGATGGAATCATAAGATTTCCCTACGTATGCATCCAATGTAATCATATGGTCTATTCACATCTGATTCTGATGTTATCATAAGACCTACCTATATACACAGTATATCCGATGTTATCATAAGGTCTATCTGCGTAAGCATGGTATCATAAGATCTCCCTAACTATGCATCTGATCTTATCATAAGAGCTCCCTGTGTATACATCTGATGTTAATATAAGACCTCTCTAGATATGTATCAGATGTCAGCCTAAGATATCCCTTATTATGCATCTGATGTCATCATAAGTTTCCTTACCTATGCATCTGGTGTCTCTTCAAGAAGGGGTAGACTGTTTTATTGGCCTTAAAATGTAACTGGTCCTTTAAGTGACACAGGGGTCAATTCACTAAAGGGGTTATTCACTAAGCTGCTGAAGGAAGCCGAGTGAATAACCGAGTCAAAGTGAGCTGTTTGGCTATTCACTTTAACGTACATCAGCTAAAATCAGCTGTACATCGGCTGCCTTCGGTCAGCCTAACATGCCCTGCATGTTCAGCTGAGCCGAAGGGCAGAAGGAGTTTGACTCAGCCGATCTGACATCTGGATCAGCTCAGCCACAGCTCCAGGAGCTCACTCGCTACCGTTTGCCTCTATTCTCATAGGGCAGGGGTAGGCAACCTTGGCTCTCTAGCTGTGCTGAAACTACAAATCCCATCATGCTTCTGGGAGTCATATCTGTGGCTTACAATGCCTTATGGGATTTGTAGTTTCAGGACAGCTGGAGAGCCAAGGTTGCCTACCCCTGTCATAGGGGCTGATCGGCAGTGAGTGAATAGCCAAATGACGCAGAGCGGCATTCGGCTCGGCTATTCTGCTCACTACCTCCGAGGTACCGAGCAGAGTAGAAAAAAACATAAATGAAAAAAAATGTTGAAAAATAATTTTTTAAAATTAAAATAAATAGGAAAATAAAAGAAATTAAGAAAATAATAAAAATGTTTTAAGGAAAAGAAAAAATAAATAAAAAATGATGCACGCCGACCCGGACGCCCGCAACGATTTCTCGCCCCTAATTTTGAATCTGACATGCCGGCAAAATATAAACAATTGGGCGGAGCTAGCGGTGACATTACATCCTATTGGCCGGCACCTGCCAGAGTCTTCTAGCAGGTCCCAGGCAATATATAACAACTGGGCGGAGCCGGACATGATGTCACGGCCAGCTCCGCCGAGTTGTTATTGTTTAATGACAGATCAACATCCCCAGGTCATTTGGGGACGCTGATCTGTCATGACAACTGGGCGGAGCGAGCCAAAGCATATAGGTTCGACTAGGCTGAGCCACTCTGCTGCCTTCGACTGCTGTACGGGCTCTAAGACTTAAATACCACCCAAAGTTGAGGTAAAATAACTCATGCATTATTTATCACTTGAGTATAAAGTTCACTAAAATCTATGAGTTATTTACCAAATGAGATATTTCTTCAAAATATGTCACATTTATCTCATTTTTGGCATTATTTTTGGAGTTAATTTTGACATCACCTTTTTCTATTTTCTTTTTTTTCGCAGTATAAAATAAGTCACATAGGTGCAAGCAATTACACCGATAACATTAAAAACACTTTTTATTTGGTTCCATATCTGCCTTCAGGATGGCATTCTTCTATATATCCTCCATTAGATGAACCTGTATTCCAGCAATATGTTCTGGAAAACTTCCTTTGCCTCAGTTTGGAAGTTATAAGCACATGCAAACTGCTACAGGCTGACAGACTTTAAATACTGACTGTCCCAGGCAAGTGCCGTTTACCACCATTACCGTTACCGTTTTGTTTTTACTGAATTGACTTTAATGTATTTCATGTGATAGTTATCTCATGTTTTTATAGTTTATGCATTATTTATCTCACATTCATTATTTTCTTTTTAATGAATTGAACATTATATTATTCCATGCGATATTTAATGGAAAACAGTCACGTGACCTGAATATCACATGCAAAGTTTAACCTTATTTCTTGTATATTTAAACACCACACATGACCCTAGGAATATCACATTGCACTGTATTTCTCTTTTCAGCCTTATCAATGAATCATTAAGGGACCAACTCCTAGTTACTATCCAGAAGACCTTCACCTATACACGAACCCAAGCCCAGCATCTTTTTATGATCCTTATGGAGTGTATGAAAAAAAAGGAGCTGGTAAGCAGAGGAAATCAGGGTTTGGTTTCTAAATGCTGACACAAAATATGTAGTTGCTTTTATTATAAATTACATGTAATTCTAATTGAATAAGTAATCATACTTTGACATATTGAAAAAGCCAGTGCAATGAGAAAAATACGTATTTGATCCCCTGAAGATTTTGTAAGTTTTGCCCACTTACAAAGAAATTAAAGGTCCATAATTTTATCATAGGTGTATTTTAAATAATAGAGACAGAATATCAACCAAAAATCCAGAAAAAACCCATGCTATACAAATGCTATAAATAGAGTTGCAGTTCAGTGAGTAAAATAAATATTTGTTCCCCATGCAAAACATGACTTAGTACTTGGTGGAGAAACCCTTGTTAGCAAGCACAGAGGTAAGACATTTCTTGTAGTTGGTTACCAGGTTTGCACACATCTCAGGAGGGATTTTGGTCCACTCTTCTTTACAGATCTTCTCTAAATCCTTAAGGTTTCTTGGGTGTCGCTTGGCAACTCGAAGTTTCACCTCCCTCCATACATTTTCTATAGGGTTAAGGTCTGAAGACTGGCTAGGCCGCTCCATGACCTTAATGTGCTTCTTCTTGAGCCACTGCTTTGTTGCCTTGGCGGTATATTTTGGGTCATGCTGAAAGACCCATCCACGATCCATCTTCAGTTTCTGATTGGCCGGGAAGCTTGGTGACGAGGGAGCATTCAGCCAACTTCCAGGCCAATTTAGGAAGCCAGGCAGCGTGTAATGACTCGCCGGCCAGCTTTCTGATTGGTCGGAAGCTGGTGATGATGGATCATGGAGACGGCTCTCCGGCTAATCAGGAAAGCCGGGCGGCGAGTCATTACACACTGCCCTGCTTCCTAAACCACCTCCCGTCCGCCGAATGTTGAAAAACGGCCAGACGGGAGTCTTCTGGATGCGGGTGGGTGTCTTTAGACGTCCTTCGTGCCCGCGCACGAGCAGAAAACCGCCAGAATTTTACATACAAGCGCTCCGGCGTCTGTAAAGACGCCCAATCGCTTGTATGATGCAAGTGTCTGTGCCACCCCTCCATACCTCTTCCTGTGGTCGCCGTCCCTGCCGCCACGGTCCCCGTGATCCCGGGTGTCCGATCTGGGACCGTCAGTGTGGCTCCATGTGGCTTGGTGCATGGAGAACGGAGGAAGATCAGTAAACGATCACCCTCCGCTCTCCTCCCCGGTCTCTGAATGCAGGAAGTGATGTTTACTACATCACTTCCGCATTCCTCTGTCACTCTCCGGTATAGAAATTGGAGAGAAGCTGATGAAGCAGATCTGTGCTTCATCAGCTTCTCTGGGGGTCTCTAGGTGACATTAGGGGTCTTAGAGACCCCTGATGTCTCCATAAAGGGGACCTGTCACTGTAATTTGATATGACATAGGGGGGATTCTTATCCCCCTATGTGATAACAATAAAGTTAAGTGTAAAAAAAAAGTAAAAAAAACAAACAAATTTCTCATAAAATAAAAAAAATTTGCACACACAAAATAAAACCCCCACAAAAATGTTTTAAAGTTCCCCACCCCCACATAGATATGCAAAAATGTGTTAGGTGCGCCTACACGCAAAAACGACGATTGCGCAAATTACGCCGCACATGTTACATATCGCTGCGAACGTAGCAGTGAGAGCAATAATTCTAGTGCCATCAATCACTGATAACACTAAACTGATGAGTGGTAAAATCTTTTAAAGAGTTGCCTATTGCAAATTTTGGCTATGGTAGTATTTTGCGATTTCGCGGGTGTGCGCAATTTTAAGAGTTCACATGTTTGGTGTCTATTTTCCCGACGTGACCCCGCCTTTTATATTTTACCAAAAAATTGATTAATAATAAATATTTCATAACATAATAAAGGGAAAACAGTTTTTAAAAAAAGATTCTGTACTTTCTTCGTTATATAATAAAAAATAAAAACCCCAGTGGTGAATAAATACCACCAAAAGAAAGCTCTATCTGTCCCCCAAAAATGGTATAAAATTAGTTTCAGTACAGCGTTGCATGACGGAATAAACGTCAGTCAAAGTACTGCATCACTGAATACTGAAAAATGGCCTGGGCAGGAAGGGGGTGTGAACACCGCGGTCAGCAAGTGTTTAATGGGACTTCCGGTATGGGCATTTGGTATTGGCAAGGACCAAAAAAAAATATCTGTATTCATACTCGATATAAAAAAACGGTTTCGGGGCATCCCTAGTTTCAATACATAGGTGATAGGTATAAAGTCAGTTTGCTTAGGACTATCCAGAAGAGGACTGTCATTACTTACCTCTTGCTGCAAATGCTAATGACATGTCTATCTCTGGCTTCATTGCTTTCTAAGTCACTGACCCACAAAGAGAAGTCAGAGAAAACTTTGTGACTTGTGTGTAAGTAGTCTCAAACAAAAGCTGCCATTCTTTAAATTCTGGGTTGCATTACAGTTCCAGTGCACTTATTCCACTTGATGCTTCAGCTTTATTACCATGAAACTAGTATACAACCAAGAACTAGAACGGCATGTTTGGTACTTTGTGACATACTCCCTTTACATTTTTTTCTTTCTGTTTGTAATTGATATAAAACATCGGTCCATATTTGTAGTTAAATTATGTGGGTAAATTATAAAGACATCCTCGCATGGGAGAGATATGGAAGCTGTCCTTTGCAGACCTCTGGTTCTTAAAAAGCTAATTGTGGATGCAAAATATTTGGTGAGTTCAACTATCTGCTGAAGATTGTCTGTGGTAATTGTCTCTGCTACATAAAGACCAGGCATTGAGGTCTCAGGAAGGGATAAATCACTATTGCAACAACTGGAGTCAGAATATGAACCCATTGTGCATAAAATATGCATTGCTTAGCTCCTTCTAAAAATGCCAGTTACCTAACCGTTACCCTGACACTCTCACTGCCATACTTTGGGTTAGAAACCCAAAAGAAGTATGTAGATTAGGAAAGCCAGAGGAAAGTCCTATATATACTTGATCCAGGACACTGACTCAAACTATTAAAACAAGAGGCTTGGTATGGCAACCAGACAAATACATTTATTGCATTCAGAAGGGTTCAGGCACAATATAATGTGGTAGAATTTGGTATTCGTAGTTGTCAAAAGTAGGCTGAAACACTTCACTGAGAACGTGTTATTTTGGAAAGCTGTTGTAAGTTATCTAATTTGCATTTATTTCCAACTAACTATTTGCATTGAAATGCACCTTAATTTCAAACTGCACATCAATCACAGATCTAATACAGTCATTACAGATGAGCTGAAATCACTGTCAGTGCTTGTCTGCACATACTGTACACCATTGATTGTGTGTGATGTTTCAAAATTACTAATCTGTCTTTATTTAGACTTACAGTCCTCAACAAATATTGCTGTCCTGATGGAAAATCACCAGGGATTGTATAGCTATTCCCTTTACATTTCCCAATAAAACAAATATGTTTTAGTCAATGCTTTGTGCTTTGCTGAAAATAGGGAGGATTTGTGGAACAAGGTCTTAGAGGTTTATTGATTAATAACATAGCCTCAGAAACCAATAACTGAATTAATTCCTGTGTTGGGCCATGGCCTTGTAAAAACATACTGTCAATGTAAAATAAACAAGGTGTTAACATGACATACCTACAGGGCCAAAGTTATAAACCGGCAAAGTTGGGCACTTCCGCCAAGTCTACCAGTGCAGGGATTATGTATTAAAAGAGACCATTAAAGGACGTATGTATTATTAACTGTCCCTCATTTAGAGTGCTTGTCCCTCTTTCGAAACTAAATCTCTCTGCCCCTCTTTTTAGCGCTGGTGTAGAAATCTGTACAAACAAAACACGCTATTTAGTTGCCAACATTATTTAAATTGCAGTAGACCTTTTGGACACTCTTCAGATAATTGTATTGGTTTGTATTAAATGTTATAATAAAAACATAAACGTGAAAAAAGCTCCCAAGATTTTAAATGTTTGGTATTGTACTTTAAAGGGACATTGCCATGAGAGGATAAAAAGGCTGCTTTTGGAATGCTCAGTTCCTTGGCTGTCACATTGATGTTTCAATGCTGACCTGAAACAAGTATAGAAATAAGAAGGTCTGACACTTATTTAAAGCATGCTTGTTTTCAGAGTATGCGATTCAAAAGTAAAGTCAGACACAACCAGACAGCTAGCACTTTCAGGAGTCCAAGAACAGCAACAAGTATGCTTCCCTCATGTCAATTTACGTCATCATGGTCTGCGTGATCCAGGGGTGGTAAGGGCTTGTCCATTGCCTAAATAATCTGTGCTAATAGGTGTCCCTGTTTTCTATCTCAGAATGCTGAAAGATGTGTATTTTAAAAGTATTAACAATTCCAAAAAGCCCTTGTTTCCACTAACAGCCAATCAGAACGACTGATCTATTTTCAACTTTTCACTGCAGAAATTATAGTTGTAAGCTGGCAAGCTGATATGGGCAACCAGAAAGACCCTTGATTGCACTTTTTTTCATTTATATTCACTTCATGTATAAGCCCCAAACAGACTTGCACATAATAGAAGATTCATTAGTAAAGAGGAAAAAGAGCTCTTATAAATATAAATTGGAATTTTCAAACATCCACGTCAGTGTGCTTATTAGGGATGAGCAAAGGTTTGGACAAACCCAGTCCGAACCTGGGCCTGGAATGCAGTTATGTAATTGACCTTATATGGCTTCATGCTTATACTTGGTAATTTACATGTTCCTCATATGGCTATGGGCCATACTAGGTAAACAATGTCAGCACAAGTATCCCACCCCTTTCCTCACATGCAGTTACAAGGTGGGGAATGACTGGCTCGCAGCTGACTGGGGGTAAATTTCACTGCTTCAATCGACACTGGAGTCCTCACCTGTCCACTGCTTATAAGGTTTATTGACCCCTAGGATCAGCATTCCCACTGTGTGTACAATGCTCAGCTGCTTTTCAATAGGATGAAACAGGATTCTTTGCATGACACTCATGAAACTGCCCTTACCTGGCTTGGAGTATCGGATGCCCGTGTGTTCTGTCTTGCACTGCAGTGCCTTACTTAGACCCTTTTGTCACTAAATGATTCAGTATTGGAGTCTTACACATAGGGGTCTTCAGAATGAACCATCCTGCATAGCAGAGGGTACAGATACTTGCTGGAGATTTGAGTCTACTGCATTATTTCCTGCTACGGAGTGCCTGTTTGATTACTGAAAGGTCACTTCAAAAGGCAAATAAACTAGCCATGTTTTTAGTTTTTGATGAACTGTGAAGTTGGTTGTGGTTTACTTCAAAGTTTTAGCCAGAGAGAGAGAAATTTAGGAAAACTGTTCCTAATTTAAAACAATGATATGCTTACATGACTTCACTTTAATAAATCACCCTTAGATTTTTCATACCTGGTATGGAAACAAGATGGATTGCAGGTTACCTAACCAAGTGTGTCATGTGAATTTTTCTTTAGAATTATCATTCTCAGCACAACGTGGCAAGAAATAAAAAGTATCAGCGCAAAGACAAAGATTAACTATGTGGGTTGATGTGATTATTGGTAATAGCATGCAGAGACAAAATGTTGGGAGGAACTCAAGTCAAGGAGAAAAGTACAAAAGTTAATTAAGAAATGTTTGATATAATGGGATCAAAAGCGGGAAGGACATTGGAACATACTGACCCAGGAATAAATTGGCAAATATTTTCAGTATTACATATTAATAATATTTGTCACTCAAAATTATTTCTTATTAGGAAAGAAACTTAATCTGGTTTTTTTGTCTCGTCCCAAAGGCCAAATTCATTAATTAATTTTTTTTACTATGTGCATTTGATTTGCATAAAGCCTATTATGTAGTCCTTTTCTAAAATGTCAGACATAGGGAGGGCTTTAGTGGCGCAGTGAAATTAACTTTAGTTCACACATCCAATCGTGTGCAACATAATTTCCTATTTTTTTTCTATTTAAATTACTCTGCACATGATTGGACATTTCACATAAACTTAATTGCACTTTAGTAAATTACCCTCAGTGTTCCTGGCAGGAATCAGATGGAACAAGAATAAGGATCATTGTATAGATGAAACAAAATTGACAAAATGTGCTATTTATAAAGATTGGCTAAATAATTCTGTTTCGCTTTTCCACAATTAGCCCACCTTTGCCATAACATGTCTACTTCAATTTATAAAAGATTGATACAGAAAGATGCAATGTGAAAGTACAAAGTAAAAATGGTAAAAAGTAGTCAGAACGACAACAATAAAGGTAAAATGAAGCAAAAAGCTAAAAAAACAACAACTTAGTTCCGTCAAACATTTGCATTTTTCAAACAATTGCATTAGGTTTAGGCTCCATTTACACCTGTGCAATTTAGTACATTTTGTCCAATTTTTTGTTATGGGCCCTGTTCACACCTGTGTACTGACTTGCATTGGAAAAAATAGTCCATGTGCATTTTTTGGTGCATCAATGCGCATTTTTGGCCCCGTAGTCTTCAATGGCAGCACACAAAAAATGCATCTTTGTGCATTTTAGCACATGGTCACCAAACCTAATAAACAAAACAAAATGCAGAACACATGAGAATGCACTAATTGCCCTTCAACATGCAATAAAATGTGCATTAATACGCATAAACAATGCTGGAAAAACAAGATGCAAAGGTGTAAACTTGGCTTAGAATAGAAAAATGTATTGCAAAATAATTTGCTACAATTGGATTGTCTTTATAATCTGGTGAAACATATATATTAGGGCTGTTACTGATTAAAATTTTCGTGTTCGATTAATCGAAAAAAATTTTTAATCGATTCATTATAAACGCACATACAGATCCAACTACATTGGCCTATACACATACAGCACAGCAATGAAGTAATAAAATGAACTAGGATCACACTAATCCAGCACGTTATTAATCTCACGTGCCCCACTCAATATGGCCACCGCTTGAGTGGGGCAACTCAGAATAATAACGTGCTGGATTAGTGTCATCCTAGTTCATTTTATTACTTCATTGCTGTGTTGTATGTGTATAGGCCAATGCCTTGGCTGGTGCTCGTGCAGAACAAGTTTCTTGGGCAAACCTCTTAGTTGTAATGAAACAGGAAATGAGGCGGTCACAGAACTCGATAAGTGTCAACAGATCACCGGCCCAAGTGGCTCCGTCGGCTAATGAAGGGAAGGGGGGAGGAGTCCGGTGACGTCACAGACATCGACGTAACCGGACTCCTCCCCCTTTCCCTTCGTTAGCCGATGGGGCCACTTGGGGAAGGGGGGAGGAGTCCGGTGACGTCGATGTCCGTGACGTCACCTGATCTCCGACGGGACTCCCGTAAGACCCGGAAGCCGGCGGAGAGGTGAGTTTTCATTTTTGATCAAAAGCATTTTAATCAATCAAAAATGTTAACGATTAATCGAGAAATTAATCATTAATTTCCGCAGCCCTAATATATATCAATGTATATTTTGCAGTTATATATTCAACATATATTCACAATTTCATATGTTCACATATAACAAAACGAGCAAAGAAAGCAGCAGGTATAACTCTGTAATTGTTTTTTTTTAATTGCTTGGAGAAAGAAGATAGTATTTATAAGTATTAAATGTAGAGATCCTTTTGTAATTAAAATCCGACTATGATTAATTACAATCATTCTTAGAACAATGCTTAGGTAATATGACCTTTAGCAGATATTTGGAATATTCTACACTACAATATAATAATATCATTTTTACTGTTTTTTGTTGTTTTCCAAACTCCAGATTACAGTGTTCAGGATGGGATCCGAAGGTCATCAAGATATTGATTTAGCAATTCTCACTGCTTTGCTAAAAGGTAATTATGTAACAGTTATAGATATATAATAATTATTTATTTCAATTAGAAGGTCAAAGTCTTAGATGTTTAAATCTATTCCAGTCAATGTCATCATACATTATTAATATTATTATGAGCTATGGTAATATTTTAATTATATAGGGATATGTTTGCTAACAAAGAAAACAAGATGCTCTTGGTACATTTTTACACTAAAAATGTCTGCTAGTCTAGGTTCATGTGTACTTTATGTTATAAGCACATTAAGAACATTAAGCAAGCAAAAAAAGATTTATGATGTCATATTTTGTAACTCTGAGGAAACATGGGGACGGAAGGGAATGCATATAGGAGTCCTGGCAGTTTGAACAGTTTACTCCCTGTTCAGACTAACACAAAATATCTATTTAAGAAGTTGTACATTTAAAGCCTATTTGAAGTCTTTTCCTTTTTATATCTTTATAGTCTTCTTCCCCTAGCATGTTATAAGTTGTAAATGATTTTTGAGTGAGAATGACTTTAATAAATGTTTCAATTTTTGATAATGCTGATTCCTGTTCTCTCCAGTGCTCTTTGCTGGCATAGATGAGTAACAGCCACCCTCCTTATCACAAGCATCTTCACACAAACTTGTATTGCATAGAATGAAAGAGGTGTGTTAGACCAACTTTGTTACTGAAAGCCAATTACTAATTGCACTAGGTGACTCTGGTGACTTAGGGCAACCAACAAATCTGCAACAGCAAATAAGACTATGATATGATTCAACTGTACAAAATGGAGGTTGTTAGGCCTTGTGCAAACATGGTTCAAATACAATGTATGGGTTAAAGGATGCACCTTGAGGGCCCATAGAAAATCAATGTTTTGGTTCAACGTAGTGTATGCCAATGCACCAATTTGAATGGGTCCTTAGTGCATTCTCTTTCTAACTACATATCTATTTCTGTGACTTCAATTGGGTTTTAACCTCCTACATTATTCAATATTGTGTATACGACTAACAAACAGTGTTGCTTGCTTGAGGAAGTTGTGTTCCTTCCCATCTAAGAGCAGCCATGACTTCAAGAAAATTTGTAAATCTGTAATGAGGGAGTATGGAAGATGCCATTGTTGATCTCTTATTCTGAAATGCTACTTACCTGTTTGTCATGCTGATGCTTTCTCAGTTTGACTTCACTCTGACTGTACTTGCTATATGCATGTCATGGACTAATAGACTAGTAACAAGGAAAGTACTGAAGCCAGTGGATAAGCTTGAAAGCCAGGTACCTAGTATTTTCAGATATAGGCAGCAGGTACAGACTTTATGGGGTCTATTCACTAAGCTGCCGTAGGCAGCCGAGTGAGCAACCGACCCGAAGTAAAGTGAGCCGAACATCTGGATCAGCTGAGCAGAACCTCCGGCAGGCTACTCGCTGCTGTTCGGCCTATTCTCATAGATGCCGAACAGCAGCGAGTGAATAGCCGAATGCCACCGAGCGGCATTTGGCTCGGCTGTTCTGCTCGGTACCTCTGTGGTACCAAGCAGAATAGAAAAACAGTGAACAAAGTAGAAAAAAATCAAATTTAAAATGATTGGGCGGAGCTAGCAGTGACAGCTAGCTCCGCCCAACTGTTTTCTATTGGCAGATCAGTTCTGCTGCCGTCAGAATAAGAAAAGAAAAAAAAACACCATAGGAATGCATAGCTAGATTCCTATTGGCTATTTCACTTTGCAATAGCCAACACCAAGCTAGCTAGTGCACCTGCCCTCTGCTGCTGTCAATCACTAGAGGGGACCTGATGGAGAACTTCAGGTCCCCTCTGCTGATTATCTCAATTTTGAGATAATTTTTATATCTAAAAGTCTATTCACAAAGAAGAGAGTAGATTTAGATGATTAATTTAATGGTTAACTCACCGGTACATCAGTATTTAAGTTCATAGTTTTCCTTTTGAAAATGAAAAACACTTTTTTTTTTCAACCTTATAGCGTTAAATATGCAACAACTGGTTATTTCTTGCAGCATATACTGTATAATGTGGAGCCAAGCAAGCAGAGAGTGTTCTTTTTGTTACTTATTCATGATATTGTATTTTATTTATGTAATGCCTTTTGCTGCTAATTCCACTTATCCTTCAAAATCTAATGCTTCTTAAATAGCATCACAGTAAATTTGTAATAACAGATGATGGATTTGTGCTCCCAGCCATGGCAGCTTGACTGTAATAAACTGACATAACTATAAGCAACCAAATGTACAGTGCTTAAATTGAAATAAATATATAGCAATAGACCCAGGGCAAATGAAGGCATTACAGAGGGAACCCAATATTTATCTTAATATTCTTGAAGAAATCTCAAATGTGAGACTTTATTTTCCGATCATTTGAAAAGATCCATTTGATTATTGTGTTAGAAAATAACTACACAGATTGCATTATAGAAGTGCAGATATCATGCATTAGATGCTGGCTGTATTACAAGCCTAGCAATATATTTCTTCTCACGAGAGCTATGAATATACCTCCCTTTTCTAGGGCAAACAGTACAGGACAGAACAGTAAACTAAACTCAGTTTTTTTTTTATATATAAGCTGTTACTTGCAGAAATGCTAAAACTGTGAAGACTTTGGTAAATAAGAGTTCTCGCTGTACAGTCTAGAAGACTACACTACACCTTATACACACCTTATACATTATTTTTTCTATTTAATCCCTTGTGAAACAGGTGCAAATGCCTCCGCTCCTGATCAACTGAGTCTGGCATTGGCTTGGAACAGAGTGGACATCGCTCGGAGTCAGATCTTCATTTATGGACAACAATGGCCGGTACATATATGTAGAATAACAATGCTAATATTTGCTTAGATAAAGTATTGTAGATCTCACATTTCTGGAAATTCAGTCATCGGTATTTTCAAAACTAAGAAGATGAGAAAGTTCACTGTACATTATATAGAAATGTTCATATTTATTCTCTTCTTTAAATTGGTTAGGTTGGGTCCTTGGAGCAAGCAATGTTGGATGCCCTGGTACTGGATAGAGTGGATTTTGTGAAATTACTTATTGAAAATGGAGTTAGTATGCACCGTTTCCTCACCCTCTCAAGATTGGAGGAGCTGTACAATACGGTAAGAAAAACAATACTTCACCCTGTAACAGGTTTTTCCTTATCGTATCCACTGCCACCCTGGGGTTGATTTACTAAAGAAGTATAGGCTGTTTATTTTCACTTAGCAAGGGATATCTCCCTTAGCTGCGTGAATAAAGTAATGCTCCATTGCCTTGAATCCAATCCGATGCAGGCAGTTAATTTTTTATTTTCCTTGCATGCGATTGTGTATTCTTTAACCACTTTAGGACTGCCAAACATACCTATACATCCTCATCCTGAAGTGGTTTTACCAAGGTCATGGCTGCTGCTGGTATCATCTGTTTCAGCAGGCAAAGCTTGTTAATTACAAGTGATCTGGGCAGCTGTACAGCTCACTTGTAGCAGCCTGCTAATGTGCTGCCCCCCCCCCCTCCACTCCCCCCACCATGGTTTTCAGGGTCCCCGCTCCTCTGAAAGGTCCAGGAGCATGGCAAATGTGGTCAAGATGAAGAACAAAATCAGACCAAGGGAAGTCCTTCCCCAGTCTGCTCCTGCTCTCTATCCTGCATTTTCCGTGGTCCCAGGTCCCCCAGAGAAGTGAGGGACCCTGAAAACCACAGCGGGGGGGGTGTGGAGGGTCACAGCTCCACCTGCTGAAAAAAACGATGCCAAGATCATGGCTGCAGCAGCATGCATATATACGTACGGCAGTCCTGAAGTGGTTATAACGTCAATTTTCACCACATTCACTTAGCTAAGTGTACCACTTCAGGACTGCCATACATGTATAAATGGTGCCGTCCTAAAGTAGTTATACCAAGATCATGGCTGATGCAGCAACTGTGATCTTGGTACCATTGTAGAGCCAGCTTTGGCTGTCACATTCAAGGATTCACTTGTTTGCAGCTAGAAAGAGTGCGCTTCCCCCCTCTGCCGCCACTGCCGACTACCCCAGGCTCCGCTGTCCCCCATGCAGGCCCAGGACCAGCATGGTGGTTATCTGCACCTCAAACACAGCCACATATAAAAAAATTATACAAAACACAAAATAAAATTTAAAGGCCCCTGACCCCATGTACATGCACATACAAACTCAAACACGCGTCGGGTGCGCACATGTGTAATAATTGTGCAACACATGTTACATATCACCGCAAACATCAGAGTGAGGAAAATAATTCCAAGGCCATCACTCACTGTTAACTCTAAATTGATGAGGGGTAAAGGCTTTTAAAGTGTCGCCTATGGGAAATTTTGGGTACTGTAGTTTTTTGCCATGTCAAGAGCATGCACAATTTTAGGGCTTGATATAAAATATATATATTGGGGGTTTTAATCTGTCAACATTCAGATTTTATCATGTATGGGCAAAAATTAAGAAGTTGCTCGGGAAGGGAAGTGGTTTAATTGATATACTTATATATATTATATTTTTGGATTTATGTTTGGATACACTTTAGGAGGAGGTACCAGGAAGGGAATGATTATGTGTTATGACCAGTTTCACTTTAAACAGATGTTTTCGTGTTGGTTGAAATCTGGCAGATTGATTAACCCACTTGCTTCACGTGTCTTTTGGGTACGTGAAGTAAATCTTTTGGGTAGTAAAATCTCCTTACCAATATTCACATCTCTACCTCAATGCAGTCATCACAAAAGTGTTTGTTCAGGCCTCACTTCCCTGGCTGCAATCTCAGCCATTCAAAATAAATAAATACAATGACGATTATAATAACCCTTGATATGAATATGGACAGAGCTAGGAATCACTGTGCAGAAATTCTGGAACTAAAGTCATGTTATTCAAGCCACCTTTTGCCACTGAAGACTAAAATAGTTTTTTGATCCACGCACTGTTTTTTACTTTGATATCTGCAAGTATGTTCTAGTTGTAAGGCCCTGTTACTGCTCCTCAGTGGGTGAAGGAGTTATTGCAATTAATTCCCTTTAGGGGTCCCGCCAGGGGCTGACTGGCAACTTTTAGCCCAGGGGGCAAGTACAACCCAGAGGCCCATGGTGCAGCAACTTGGCCCCCCTCCCGCTCTCCCTCTTCCCCGCCTTCTCCCCGCCCCTGTCTGCCACTTTTGTCATCCATGTAACGGTAGTGTAAATGGTCGGGTGATGTGACTCCTACTAAGTCCATGAAAGGGACAACTTGCTAGAGGATTGTGCTCTCCTCCCACTGGCCTCCCTACATGGCTCTGGCCTTACTCCGCTCCATGTCCACTACTTAGGCACTCTCGCCCACTGTAGACCGCCGCTGGCTGTCCATACTTCTGGGCTGTGAGCTGTGGGAGGTTAGTGGGAGGGGCCGGACAGTGTCAAAGTCAGTGTTCTATAATTTTTCTCGACCACCAGCTATAGAGGACTATAAATCTCAGAAATACATTGTACAGCATTGCAGAATGGCATTGGCTTTAGAGAAATATAATTCCAAGCAATACATTACACAACGATGCAGAATACCATCAGCTATAGAGGACTATAAATCCCAGCAATAATGACTACCAACAGCTATGGAGAACAACAATTTCCAGCAATACCATTATACAGCAATGCAGAACAGCATCAGCTATAGAGGACTACAAATCCCAGTAATACATATTACAGCAATGCACAATATTATGAAACTACATACTCTGTTGCTCTGGGTTCACTGCCCGATGTCTCCAAGGTCTCAGGAGGGTTGTGCAGGCTCTCACCAGTGGTCCAGAGAGTTTCACGGGTGTGTGTGGGTGCAGCAGAGGTGGCTCCCTAATTACGCTCTCAGGAGACTGTCAGGTGGTCAGTGTGGGCTTCTGTAGTGGCCAGTGGGGGCTCCCTAATAATTAGTGGTGGCTCCGTGGTAGCTCCCAAGTGGGTAGTGGGGGCTCCACTGTGGCCAGTGGGGGCTCCCTGCTGGTTAGTGGGGGGCTCTGTGGTGGCCAGTGGAGGCTCCCTGGTGGTTAGTGGGGGATCCCTGGTATAGGGTGACCATTTATCTTGAGCTGCAGCTAACGATTATTTTCAAAATCGATTAGTTAGCCGATTATTCAGTTCGATTAACCGGTTTATCTGGATTTTTTTTAAATGGCTCCAGTGATGGACTACTAGTTTGTATTGAGATTGTAATCATCACAGGAGCAAGCTTGGAGTGGTGGAAGAAAAACAAAAAAGTGTGGTGTGCAATATAGTGAGATGGAAAATGGAAAATTATACAGCAATCAATGCAGAATGGCACCAGCTATAGAGGACTACAAATCCCAGTAATACATTATACAGCGCAATGCAGAATACCTCCAGCAATAGTCCTCTATAGCAGGTGGTATTCCGCATTGTGCTGTATAATATATTATTGCTGGGATTTGCAGTCCTCTATACAGCGCAATGCAGAATACCACCAGCTAAAGAGGAGTACAACAAATCCCAGCAATAGTACATTATACATACAGCATATAATGTATTGCTGGGATTTGTATTCCTATGTATAATATACAGCACAATGTACCATCAGCTATACAGGAATACAAATCCCAGCAATATAAAAAAACCCCAGAAAATTTTATAAAGGGGGGAGGGGGGGGGGGGGGGTGTAGGCTTACCTGAGCAGTCTTCCAGCAACTTGCTTCTGATATCGGGCCAGTCTGTCGGTGGCTGTCATCACCCCACGCCTGCTCCTCCTTACTTCTCCCCGCGCCCATGTGTCGATCATGGATGTAGGCGGGCGGTGAGTGTGAGGCGGAGAGGAGGTGTGACGTGTGGAGCGTGGATGCAGGCGGGTGGGTCTAGCAGCGGCAAGCGTGAGGCGGGGAGGAGGTTAGGCGGGGGAGGGATGCAGCCACTGCACCAGCGGCCAAAGGCTTCTTTTAGTGGGGGCTAGTGACAGGCCCCCTGACAGCCGCGGGTAGGGGCCATTTTTAAAGGCAGCAGAGAGGCCTGGAGAGAGGCCCCCCGGCCCAGTCTGCACCTGGGTCCCGCCATCCTTGAGATAGAAGTTTAAATAGCAAAGAGGGATGCAATTCTGGGAGCCATAGTGGGAGTGCATAGGAAGCAGAGAAGCATAGTAGAGGTAGCAGGGTTAAGTTCACCTGGGTACCTGTGGGATATATAGGGTTAGAGCAAATAAACTGTGAATTCCCAGGCCACGGTGTTCTCCAAGGGGGTCCCATCAGTGTGGCTGGACAATACTTGGCCAGTTATAGAAGATGGAACCATTTAAAAATTAGACTGTTCTGTTGCAAGCCTTTGAATATGACTCATTCAGGAGATAGATGTTGTCCTGGTGAAAGTAGGTCAGCTGGCCTAGCAGTGGTGATGGCACCCTCATCTGTACCACTTGCCATGTAGTAAGTAGTGACTTAGAGCTCACCTTGCAACTAAGTTGTGACTAAAAGGGTTATTCACAAAGCTGCTGAAGGCAGCCGAGTGAATAACCGAGCCAAAGTGAACAGAGCAGAACGCTGTTCGCTATTCACTTTAGCTCAGTACGGCAGTCATGGTGGGCTCTACCCAGTTGTCATTCTTTCATGACAGTTCAGTGTCCCCAGGTAACCTGGGGACGCTGATCTGTCATCGCAACTGGGCGGAGCCGGCTGGCTCTGCCCAGCTGTCAGTTGCGAGACGTTTTCGGCTCGGCCAGCTTCGGGAGCTGTACAGGCTATAGTACAGCAGCCCTTCATTTCGACTGAACTGAAGGGCTCCGGCAGCCAAAGCTAGCCAAAGGATCAGCTGGAGCTAAGGCTGATCCTTCAGCTAGCTTTGTGAATAACCCTTTTAGTGTGTGTCTTACTGACATGTTTGCAAAAGGATGTCACCAGCACACCATTTAAGTGAGATCAACAAAAGTCCATTTATTAATGGAGTACAGTAATTCCAGTACATGCACTTTCGGGGCCACACAGGGTCCCCTTCATCAGGCTCAGAATGTTTGCTGGTGGCATCCTTTTGCAAACATGTATATCTTCACGGCGCCATCCGTGGTCACTACGAGCACCCACCAGGATTTCAAGGAACATCCTATACTGGTAAGGAGTGCAGCAAGACACCTATATATTACTTATGTCTTACTGACATGGCCCATAGTCCCATGAGAATAGAGCCAAAGCGATTGAACTGGGTTTCTAGTCACCCATCACTGAAATTGTTTTTACTTTAGGCCCAGTGCAGGAACTGGTTTAAAAACTCACCTGTAACAGTAACTCGCCTGTACCTGTCCCGGTAACAATGTTTTCATCAGAGAGGAAGTAAGGGATTGTCTGCAACAGTGACACACAAAAAATGACTGTTCAGTTGGTGGATTATTTGTTCACTTAATGAATAATATGTAATGTTCACTTTGAATACCAAATCATGTTTTATAAATAATGAACAGTATTTTTGCTTTTGTGTGATTGGATCATCCAAATGAACACAGCCGTTCCTTATTCACTAAGTTAACTCTCTGCAAAGTAAACAGTCTTCCTTTAGTAAATAGGTTCCAATGCTGTGTAGAAGGTGATTTTTATTTTTAAAATGCAGCTCATAGACCTAGCAACCATTGTAGGATTCACGATTCTTGACAATTTCTGGGTAGTTATTTGAAAACACAAGTAGCTGAAAGTTTCCCAGGATAAAACATATTTTCAAGATGAACAATTTAACACAAATCATTTCTGGGTTTAACTGTCTTCATTTCAGCAGATTATTGCATAGCAAAGGTCAATTCAATGTGCAATGTTTACCCACCTGATAAATGTTTGGCTGATGTTACAAACTGTTTCATTTTCCAGGTCAGAAATGTATTGGTGGAATGAGTTTTCTTTTCTTTTTCTGTTTATGTAAATGTGACAGAGCCCCAAAATCTAACAGAATATGTTAGAATTTACTGATGCTCTAGACTGTGAATACCTTGTACATTTCCCTAGGGGTATTTCATTACAATAATTCATACATATTGAGGAATTCTAATTTTAATCATAAAAGCCAGCACAGACTTGGTGATTGCCATGCAGAGAAATTATACATGAAGCCAATGAAATTGATGTGCATAATACTGATATAACCTATATTGGAAAACTATCCATTCGAATAGTGTTTTCTGTGCTTGACATTGGTAAACTATACATTGTTTACAATTGTGTATCAGTACATTTTACTAATCAGAATTAAAGTAAATTGGATTCATACCTCTAAAAGATTTCTATTTATATATAAATTACCTAAAATGTGATAGTAAGATTAAGGAAGAATGCCAGAGCAAAAGGATTATAAGATGATGACACAGTAATGTAATTCATTTAACTGTAGGTAGCCATGTTAACTATATAACAGTAATGTAAGCACATATTTACTATGCAAAAGCACTGCTGTTAAAATGCTATTATGGCATGAAAATTCCTTCACCAACAGATAGATCACGTTAAAAACTTGCCATCTCTCTGCAATCAGGTGAGTGTTAAAAATTCTAGACTTGTTGCAATGAAGTAGAGCACTGCTTTGATTTTTTGGACATGCCCATATCACTTCTACTTTGATGAATTCATATTTCTAAAGAGTAAAACATCTTGGGAATAGTCCTGTCATGTCATGTTCCAACTCTAATAATGGTTAACCAGAACAGCTACTGACTGTAAAGGCATTCAATACGTGTAAGGTCAGTGCTATCATATGAGGGATTGCTTTACTGTTAATTTTATTTTTCAAATTTTACTGTATTTCAGAGACATGGACCATCAAATACATTATACCATTTGGTCAGGGATGTCAAAAAGGTAGGCATGAACTCCTGATCAAGGTAATATTAGTATTTGTATATAGATCTTAGAAACTTTCTGCATGAGCTTTTCTGAAGGGTGTGATTTGTGTTTCTATGTGTATCTATTTTGTTTGACACCTCAATTCAAAACACTCATCTCAATCAACATTTTGTTCAAGTGCATTCATTGTATGTATCAAGATGTTTGTCTTTTTTTTCTTAATTTTTTAACTCTAATTAAAAACTTCCTACAATTACGCAGATATAACCTACATTTCCTAGTAATAGCTGAAACAGCACATTGATTAAATGATAGTGGGACCTTAGCCTTAAAGGAGAACTATGAGATGAGTGATTTCCACTCACCTCATAGTTCTAGCCGACCTGTGACAATGAGACTGTCACATTTCGGCTCAGTAGATCGGGAGGTGAGCGAACACATACTAGGTTCGCTCACCTCTCAATCCTGTCACGGCTCTCTGCCGTAACAGGGGGAGGGGCTGGATTCCCCTCTCCCCGCTCCGATCTGCCAGCGCTGACTGGCGGAACGGATGGGGGAGGGGGCGTGTACAGCTGGCTCTGCCTCTAGATAGGCAGAGCCAGCTGTCACTCACGCAGCTGGGCGGATCCCGTCATCTACGTCGGGATCCGCTCCGGCTGCGGCGGCTCAGTATACCGCGAGCTGTAGCTCGCGGTATACTGAGCTTAGGGTAACGGGAGGACGCTAGTTTGTGTCCTTCCGTTACCCTAAGGAGAACTATGGGGAAAAACACTGACCCCATAGTTCTCCTTTAAATGTCTTGCAAATTCCCAATTTCTTTACCTATAATATATCAAGCTATTTTTATTTTGACTGTATAGTAAAATTATTTGAACAGCGCATTGTATGATTTTTAATCCTTTTGTAGTCACAAAACCATAGTAATTTAGGTCAATAAGGACATGTTCACCACTGTATATAAAATTTTCAAACATAATCATTAAATATTCAACTTAAGAGCCATTTCCAGTACATTTGGCACCTGATGTGAATGTGACGCAGAAAGTTGTTATCAGTGCAATCTCAGAATAAGGAGGATTTTACATTCCACTGAGCCGACCAAGGAATCTCCTAGAAACAGTTTAATTCTTGCCTGGCCTACCCAGCCTCAATGCCATATGAGGCTGGTAAAGCATATAAGAGCTAGTGATAACCTTTATGATAATAACTGCAATCATGTTAATTAAAACGATGACGAAATATGGAAATAAGTACTAAACTGTAAATATCACAAATAATGCACCTTTAATATTGGCACAATGGCTATTCTACCCTGATAATATTATTGATACATATGACTGTGTGTTGTTCTCACATATGCACCATCAAAATATTTGTAGAACCTTGGTTTATAGTGACTATAGATGCTTTTTGCAAAAACATCTTGCTAATAAGTTAAGATAAACTGAAAAGATTTGTGAAACTTAATTTTTTTTGCCACAATATGCAATACATTACTATGATAAATGTGTATTTTTGTAATATATAACACACATGATCTTTGCAATGCCCTGTAACAAATCAGTGGTATGCCATAATCAGTGAAATGCATATTTAATTTAACTTACCAAATCAGCCAGTGCTATAGCAAAAACTGTAATGTTTACAAATCATATACTGATGAAAATAGGTTTATTTATTGTCAAGTGTTATATAAATGGTAATATTGTAAAAAAGGGTCTTATATAAAGCAGGGAAGGTAAGGATTACTCAGGCAAAGTTTCTATGTAACTATGTCAGTTTTGCCTTTCACATGTAGTGGGGCACTTTGGCTTTTACATTTTGGCTTTTGTCTACTGCATAATTATTACAAAACTAAGGGGTCTATTCACTAAGCTGCCAAAGAATCTACCCGTAGCTTCGGCTGATCCTACAGCTAGCTTCGGCCCCAGGACCCCTTCGGTTCAGTAGAACCGAAGGGCTGCTGCACAGGCTATTCGCTATAGCCCGTACAGCTCCCGAAGTCAGCTGAGCGGCTCAGTCAAACCGAAGGCATATGTATCGGCTCAAATGAGCCGAGGTGAAAGGCGAGGCTAGCCGAATGACCGGCCATTGCGGCCGGCAGCCTGCAACGGACTGCTGGGCGGAGCCAGCCCTCATATCACAGCAGGCACTGGCCACTTGCACAGGCAGATCAGCGTCCCTGGTTACCAGATAACCATGGAGGCTGATCTCACAGACAGCCCAACTCACCTGGACGCTCTAGGAGTCTCCCGCTATTATATAGCGGCTCCCGGCCGCCCAGGAGAGAGTTACTTTCCCCCGGAAAGTTTTACTCTGCTCGATCAAGCAGAGTAAACTTTTGCCTGCTATGTTGTCTTTTTTTTATATCGGAGCCGTTGGCTGCCATCAGAACAAACAAACAAAAAAAAATAAGCATAGGAATGCATAGCTACATTCCTATTGGCTATTTCAATTTGCAATAGCCAATAGCTAACTAGCTATTGCACACGCCCACTGCTGCTGTCAATCAGCAGAGGGGACCTGCAGTTCTCCATCAGGTCCCCTCTAGTGATTCCCAGCAGCAGAGGGCGGGTGCAAAAGCTAGTTCGCTATTGGCTATTGCAAATTGAAATAGCCAATAGGAATGTAGCTATGCATTCCTATGCTTATTTTTTTGTTCTGATGGCAGCCAATGGCTCTGATATCAGAAGAAAGAAAATAAAAAGACAACAGAGCAGGGAAAGGTTTAGAGTAAAACTTTCCGGGAGAGTTTTCTTTTTAATTATTATTTTGACGGCAGCAGAACCGCCCGGCCAATAGAAAACAGTTGGGCGGAGCTAGCTGTCACTGCTAGCTCCGCACAATCGTTTTCTATTCTTTTTTTTTGCTACTTTTTAAACAATTTTTCTATTCTGCTCGATACCACAGAGGTACCGAGCAGGATTCACTCACTGCTGTTCGGCATCTATGAGAATAGGCTGAACAGCAGCGAGGAGCTGCCGGAGGTTCGGTTCAGCCAATCAAGATGTTGGATCGGCTCAGTCGAACTCCTTCTGCACTTCGGGTCGGCCGAACATGCTGAGCATGTTCGGTCGACCCGAAGTCATGCGAAGCAAGCCGATGTACGGCTGATTTCAGCCGATATACGGCTAAACACAGCCAGACAAGCCTGAAGTGAATCGCCAAACAGTGTTCAGCTCACTTCACTTGGGTTCGGTTGTTCACTCAGCTGCCCTTGGTAAAGAGATGTTCATGGTGGAGGGGTGGAGTACCACACCCCAATAATTCATATTAAAGAAAAAATAAAAAGTTCAGACTTTTAAGGTACTCCAAGGATCACAAAATTGTTTTTTTTGTAAAATATAACAAAGCTTTATTTAAACATATTTTTTAAACAAATATATCTAAAAAGGAGCAAAGGATGTAGCCACAGCCTCCTACAAATTACCTTAATATTACAGTACTTTTTACAGTTTGCTGTGTAATCCAGTGGGAGGATTTCTACGCGTTTCACAGAGATCCACTTCTTCAGGAATAGGCTACTATCTTTCTATAAGAAGTTTTCATATTAAGGAACATTAGTTCAATTCCAATCCATGTAAACACATTTATTGGTGAATATAATTCATCTAGTTCAATAGACTTACAATAGTTTTTTAGAATGGCAGTATCACTGCTATCCACCCTTTGACCAATGTGCAGACGGAGAGAGACCAAAGGAAGCCAAAACAGGACACCCCCAGAAAAAAATGAACATAGGAGTTAGGAGAGCAAAGAGCAATAAAAAAAGCCAGATGTTCTATTAGGTAATGAGGTAAATCTGTTTAAAGTAACTTACTGGAAACTATTATTTAATTATAGTTTTCATTTTTAAAATTAGAAAGCTTGCAGTCTAAAATCTCCATCATACACAGCCACACACATAAAACATTGCAAGGGGTTAATTATTATAAGAAATTATCTTTTCATTGGTCTCCATTAGACAGCAACTTAATTGTGTTTTTCTAGAAAACCAGTGTATGGTTTAAAACTCTGCAAGCTACCTGAAATCCCACCCCAGAACAGAATATAAGGTAAAAATATATCTTCTTAATAATCTAGTTTTTTTACACTTGTTATTATTTGCAGAGTATTTTGTTACTTTAATAATCACCCCTCATAACAAAATAACATCTTTGGTATAAGTGACAGCTTTTTGTCCCATTACTTAATTCCTCCTTTATATCGGTGGTCAGTGGTGACTCATGCCCCATAATAATAATCCTCTTTAGATTGGTGGTCAGTGGTGACCTATAATGCCTCCCTAATTCCTTTTTAACTAGACTGAGGAGACTTATGGCACAGTCATGGTACAAATATGGTCACAGTGACTATGGGTGATACTTATTAAAGTACAGGTAGCCCTCGGTTTGCGTTGGTTCCGTTTCCACTGTTTCAAAATAGCGCCCTTTTCGGCCAGTCACGTGACCGCAATTGAAACAACCTAGTGTATCCTTAAGGATATGCAAGTGCAAGTGGCTAGAATACAACAGTATGTACAGTAGTGTGCAGAGTCTCTGGCAGCTAGATCGGGGCACAGGTGGAGGATCGCGGCTCAATCGAAAACTGTGGACACCTACAAAGGCACACAGAGGCACACTTGGAGGTATGGTGGTGCACACATGAAGATACGCTGATGGCATAGGGATACGCATGGAGATATACACAGTCACAGAGAGACATGATGGAGGCACAGGGGGTACACATGGAGATATGGAGAAGCACAGGGGTACACTTGGAGATATAGAGGAGCACAGGGGTACACTTGGAGATATGGAGGCACACAGAAGTTCATTTGGAGATATGGAGGCACATAGAGCCACCCTAGGGGCACAGGGGTACCCTTGGAGCATTCATAACATTCATTTCAAAGCTTTAAATCTAACTCCCTCACTTCCCATCGACTTACATTATATACTGGGTTTCAATATGCATCGGTTTCTATTTGCAACCATTCCTTCTGGAACCTAACCCTGGCCTACATGGAGGGTTAC